CTTTGGGGGTTTTCCTGGTTACCACAGGTTTTGCCTCTTTGGTCAGTCATACTCACCACCTTTGAGAAGCACACAGCCCTTACTTTTGGGTCCACGGGCAAGCTGAGTGTCTGGCAAAGAGCGAAAGGAAAGCTACAAGGAGGAGAGAACCCTCAAAAACACAAGGACAACGTCTGTGTCCCCGGCTGCTTTCATTTGTGCCTTGTTTAGAGATAGATGACAGAGCACCAGGCACCCTGAACTCTGGGCTCTGTCCCTGTATAATTGAAACCCAGTAAAGGGGAGAGCGCAGTAATGGATATTGTGTTCAGATTAAGAAAACGTGTCCTGGGCAACCAGGGGACAGTTAGTTCAGCAGATTTGGAGGCACCCATCTTTCTCTGGCCTGTCAACCTTCCCGACAGTAGCAGCCACTGAATTTGCCATGCTCTCTCCCTTACAGTCTTCTCTTGTCCCCTCTGCCCCATCTGTTCCCAGGGGGTAAGACTCCAAGACCTCCATAACCCTGGCATTTAATGGCAGAAGCAACACCAGAAGAAGTGAAGAAAAGTGAACTCTCCTGAATGCACCGTCCAGGTGAAGGCTGGAGCATGTGTTGTTTTTCCTTTCATTCTCTTAAAAGGCCACACACACACACACACACACACACACACACACACACACATCCTGGCATGGATCACTGAGGATCTGTTTACATCCTAATCTGAAAAGATGGTATTGAAGAAAGAGGGGTGTGGGGTGGTCAAAATGCCAGGGGATAAGAGTCAATTCTGCCCTGTATCTTGTAGATTCTAGGAGAGAGAGAGAGAGAGAGAGAGAGAGAGAGAGAGAGAGAGAGAGAGAGAGAGAGAGATAAAGAAAGAAGAAATTCCAAGCTTTTTCCTTGTGAATTCATTTCTGCTAGAGTAAGCAATAGCCATTGTGTTATCTTTTTTAAATTGGGTAACACACACACACACATCTAGAAGATGCTAGTGGGTTTGAAATTAGAAAACCACAATCAGTTCCTTTTCTCAAGGGAGGCATTCCAAGATGTATTAAAAGCATCACCCTCTCCAGCTACCTTGATTTCTCCCTCCTTACTGTCTCCACATTTAGCTGCATTATTAACTGTATCTAAATTCACCATTTTTTGGAGGTGATTCTCTTTGATAAGAAGAGGATGCTAAAAAGAATAGTGTGGAGAGTAAAATCCAGTCATGTCTCCTCTGCCATATCGACATTAACAGGGGGCATGATAAGCACTGTGCACACACAAAAAGTGACACCCGAGAAACTGCACAAACCAACTGACACTCACCCACACAAACCTAGAGAGTGCTGACCATTGTCTATCTCACTCTCTGCCTCAGACTCTTGTACTGGTCGCCCTGATCAATAATTTAAAAGGATGTCGGAAGACAGAGAAAAATGTCTTACAGGAAAGACGTGTCCTGGTGGAGAAAGGCAGAAGCTAGGAGCTGGGCTTTGGAGACTGGTGTGCACCCCTCACCTTGGGCTCTTGTCCCAGAATGGGAAGGGGATTCCAGGACATAGAAGTCAGGGATACTGGCCAAATCACGAACAAGGTGGCTCTTGAAAAGTTAAGAAGAGGAGGAGAAACTTACAGACAAATGGACCAAGTCAAAGTGTTTTTATCTCTCCCAGTCAAAACAAGGAGGCTAAGGTGTTTGTTAGGACCCCAGGGAAGAGGTACCTCTAGTCTGTCAACGGAACTGGAAAAAGAAGAGGAGGGGGTGAGTTAGAATGTCAGGGAGGAATTTAGAAAGAGCCAAGATAGCCAGGGGAAATAGAAAGAAATAGTAGACAAGATAGCAAATTAAAAAGTTAAAGCCACGAAGGAGAGATGTGAGGGCTTGGTGATTGACCTAGGGAAATGGAACAGGAGACAAACAGGGCCATGCAAGGAAACCTAGAGGAAGCTCACACTTGTGCATTCAAAAGCTCAGAGTGGACAGGAGCAGAGATAAAGAGGGAGAGGGGAGGGAGAGAGAGAGAGAGAGAGAGAGAGAGAGAGAGAGAGAGAGAGAAGCTAGAGGGAGGAAAAGCAAAGAAAGGTGGTATTTTCTGCCTTGGCAAAAAGAAAACTAAGGAACCCCTTCTCCAAGGGACCAAACCCCCAGTCCAGAGGGACCCAAGCTCTTCCAGCAAGTTTTGGGGAGGTAAGGGAGACCCAGAATTCAGGCTTCTTCTAAGATGTACAATTGAGTGTATAGGAGTGCTGGTGGGGAAAGGACCTGAAGGGTTAAGGTTGTCCAGGTGTCCAAAGGGACCAGGCTGGACCATCCTATAAGAAAACTCTGTCTCCCCAAACTCTGTCTCACAAAAGGAGACAGCTCTAGGAAGTTTGAAAGTGCCTCAGTGTCAGAGGAGCTGGGATCTCAGGATCAAATCAACCAGGGCATCAGGCCTCAAAGAGCCATTCCCACCCTGCCAGACTACCAAGAACTCCTTCCCAGTAAAGTTATTATCTCGACTTCTCCCAATTTCATAACCAGGCCTCAGACCCTCAGGAGAAACGCCATGCCCTCCTGTCAACAAGATGTCCAATATAGCGACACCTTGGACTGAATAAAGCAGTGGGGTGAACTGAGGGCGAATGTTTAGGAGAGTATAACAGTGTCTCTCACAGAGTCCAGCCAGACCTCACGCAAGCGAAAAGTTCCTGAAGTCAACCACCCGGCCCACACCCTATCCTTTCCCTCTCTGGTCCGTCTGTCCTTCCTTCCTTCCTTCCTTCCTTCCTTCCTTCCTTCCTTCCTTCTTTCTTTCTTTCTTTCTTTCTTTCTTTCTTATTTCAGATAGACACCATTCGGTCACAAAGGATCAGTGTATCGCCTTTCGAGTGTGAGGCAGGAGGTGCCACAGGGAAAACAGAATATTGCAGGGACGCCTTCCTATTTCTCGGGCTTGCTGATGCCTGCTGGGACTGTTGGCTGAGGCCTGTGATCCCCGTCTCATCCCCCCTCCCACTTTGAAGTCCCCTATCTCCTCTTCAGAAGCGGCAGGCATTGCAATGTTTTTTATCTTGTTCAAAACCCCAGTCCCTATAGTGCAAAGGACACACAGACACACAAATCCTCCTATTGCAAAAGGTAGGGGGACATCTCTTCTATGGATACAGATTTCAATCTCTCACCCAGTTCTGTTGGAAAGACTGGCTAAATTCAATCAAGGAGTCTAGAAAGAGAACAAGCCCGCACCGACGGTCAGCAGCTGGAGGCTTAAGAAGGGGCTCGAGACCCGCTAACCTTGTGGCTTCCCCGGGAGGCCAGGCCTGTCATAAGCCTGAGGAAGGCGCTGGCCAATGTTTAACCCTAATGCAGTGGCCACCAGGCCCCTTTTGTTTGTTCGCAAATTAATCACCCAGTGCACGGTCGGCGCCAGAGTGGGTTTATCACCCACTAGGAGGGGGGCTCGGCGGGCACGCAAAGACGAAGAGGAGTTCGCACCTTCCCGCTTTTGATCCTTGCATCGCCGTGGCCTCCCTTACTGAACACGAGCCTCCAGGGGCAGCGTCTGGGAGGTCAGCCGTAATTGGCGGAAGTTTGTAGACCATTAGCAACATGTAGACATTTTCGATTCAAAATCCCGCAAACTTTCTTCCACACCCCTCCCCCCCCTTTCCCTAGCGCACTGGAGTGGTGGGTGGAAGCCAGAAGTGGCAAACTGGGGTGACCCCAGGGTTAAGCTGGAGCTACAGTCAAAAATAGGCGACTAAAGGGTGTTCGTGTGGGGGTGACATGCGGGTCAGAAATTGCTCTCAGTCCACGCCAGAGCCAAAAAAACAAGGCCAGATATTTGCATGCAAAGTCAGCGAGCTCGCCTGGCATTTGCCGAGCAGACCCCCGAGGCCAGAAGGCTGGGTATCCGTTGCCAAGGTCTCTCTGGCTAGCCCGTGGATCCTTAAGACACTGCGTGGGTGACGGGGGGGGGGTGTCAAATACTCCGCAGTTGCACAACTATTTTCCTGCACTCCACGCGGGCGCACAGAGATTAACTCTCCTATGCAGGCAGAGAGGATCTCTGGGTTCTAGGGGTTGGGTCTGGCTAAAGTGGCTAGGCACGGAGGGGGAGGGGAGTCTTCTACTTGCAAAGAATCAGCGGTGACCTCGGTGGCCCGTGCGGAGAGGGGCCTGGCTCGGCCTCTCGCACCCTCGGTGTTCTGGAACAGGGAGCCTGGGAAGGGGCGTTATGAGAGCCACTGCCTTACGCATCTCCTTCTCTTTCGTTTCTCTCCCCCCCTTTTTTTTTTCCTTCTCAACCGTGGACACACGGCAAGAAAGGGGGAGAGATGGCAAGTCAGACCAAGTTCACAGAACGACTCTATTCCCACTGGCAGCGAAAGAAAAGCTCGGGGCTGGCGCCGAAAGCTCCTAACCTTGTACATCAAAACCAGGGGAGAGGGTACTGCCTATTCACCCAGTAGCTGCCAGTTCGGACCTGCAGTTGAAGAGGGGGTGCTGAGGGTGGGTGTCCTCAAGGGAAAAATCTAGAGGCAAATAAATGGTCCACGCGAAAATACCCCAAGCTTCATCTCTAGGCCCAGAAATCAGCCCTTTTTCTGTTCCCTCTCCAAGCAAAGAAGGTCTTGTCTTGTTCCCGGAAAACGAAAAACTCTGCTGAGATTGCCCTCCACTTAAACTGGTATGCCCCAGCTCCTCCACCCTAAAACAAGGACTGTGGGTTTGAGGGGGAGTCCTCTGACCCCAGCATAGACTTCAGTAACTGGGCTACCAGATCAAAGTCCCATCACTCAGTTTGCCTTCCTCCCAACCGTGGGCTGATTAGGGACTGAGTCTCCTGACCTCTGGGGTAGAGGGGTGCGTTTCACGGTTTGTTTTACAAATTCGCCCCCGACTTCTGCCAAGATAAGTCCGCCCCCCCCCCCCCGCCACCCGGGTGGAGAAGGAACTGAGGCACCAAGAGATAAGTGCGATGCCTGGGGAAGATACCAGGCTGATGCACCTCCCCCAACCAACTCTTCCAGCCCCAGCCGGCAACTCCCCGCCGAGCTGGCCGGGAGGTGAGGGCAGAGGCTCGAAGGAGAAAGGCCGACAGTCACTGCACTCACTTGTTTCAGCGGCTTCGTTCTCTCTACACCCACAACCCCATCCGGGTGGAACACCGGTATCCGTATCCGAATGGAAGAGGAACTGGGCTCAAAAGGGTCAGTAAATACATTAAAACAAACAAACAAACAAAACCTAGTCCGTAACGCGGAGCAAGTTTAGATCGGGCCGGGCGCGCAAGCCTTGTACGTGTTTGCGTGTGTTTTTCCGCTTGGGGCTCGGGCCCAGGGTGTTGGCGCTGGCGCGCGTTCGGGTACAGATACCCAGGGGGCGTTTGGGTCTCTGCACGTGACTGCGGGTGGGGAGCACGCACCGGGGAGAAAGATTTGTGGGATCCCATGCGCCGGTGACTCGGAAAGCCGGAGCACCCAGCCGCACGAGCTAAAGGACTTGACTTAGAGGCGGCTGGGCGTCTCCACGTGGGGCAGCAAAGCTGCGCGCGAGCCTGGAGCTTTTGTTCACGCGCATTAGTCGAAAGGGAGGCTCGGCAGCTGACTTGGCTAGCCCGAGGCCCGGCAAAGGGAAGAAGCTGCGGATCTGTACAGAGAAGCGGCCGAAGGCTTAAGCTGCTGCGCTCGGAGCGTGTGAGAGGCGAGCGCCCCTGCCCGGCGCCACGGTTGCGGGGCAGGCTGCCTGGCTCCCGCCCTCGCTCCCTCCCCCTTCCTCCCTGGCCCTGCCTCCTCCACGGTTCCCCGGGGGTTGGATGGCTGAGGCCTTTCAGACGTGGGCTGAGCTGAGAAAGAGCCCGGGCGAGCTCCTCTGGCTGCTGCGAACTCTCTTCTGGATCAGCCACCTAGAGGCGACTTTGGTGCGCGCGCGGCGCCCTGGTGGCTCCCCGCCCTCCCCTCTGATCGTGTTGACATAAACGCAGGACAGGCCGTAGTACCGCGCGGCGCAGCGACGTTCCAGTTTCCGACACCTTCTTTTTATAACTCGGCTCTATTCCCCCAGCACTCGACCTGTGAAAACCACGCCTATGCAGCCACACAATTGGTCCGAAAGCGTCAAAGAGCCAATCAACAAGCCTCGGGCTCCCGCAGCCCACAGCGCAGCTCGACCGTCCAGAGCCGCCGAGCAGACGCCCGGGGAATTCTAGAGGCGGAGGAGGGTGGCGAGGTGCTCGCTCACTCTCTTTCTCTCTCCCTCCCTCTACTCGCCTACTCCAGCTCCCAATCACTCCCGTCTCTTCCTCCTTTCCTGTTTTGTTTTGTTTTATTTTTTTTCACCCGTTTTCTCGATCCTCCCTCGCCCTGCGCTCCCGGACGCTGATTTTTTTTTCTAATTTATTATTTTTAGGAAAGCGATTTCGCTCACGTTTTTTTAGCACAAGGAAGACAGCGGAGTCCCCGAGGTAGAAGATCGCAGGCACCATTTGGATCGCCACCCAGACACTGCGCGCAGCTTGGAGCCAGAGAGAAGAGTGGGAGCGCGAACCGAAGCCAGCTTCGCAGTTACGAGTTTTGATAACGTCGCTGGAAAGGGGCTTAAATCAGTTTTTTTTTTAAAGGAGAGACTTTTCCTCCCCCCTTGATCTCGCCCCCAGTGAAAGCAAGAATCTTTCTAGCTCATCTAAGACGCCTCCTGCGAGAAAGCCAGAGAAGAGCTAGGGGGCGGGGGAAGGAGACGAAAAAAGGTTAAAAAAAAAAAAAAAGTCTCGGAGAACCTTGCGCTTTGGCAACAAAGAGCGTGGGAGCCGGGGAGCCACCCCGGGAAAGGCTGTGTGTCTATTTCCAGCTAAGCCACAGGGCTCGGGCGCCAGTCGAGCCCCTGCTTGTGGCTCGCCCTACTGAAACCGACTTCCAGGAGCGGCTTTTCAAACATACTCCACGCACCAGGACAGCCCTGCAGCGGCTATGTCTCCCGAACTGTCGCCGTACCCTCTTTAAAAGCCGCATTCTCTTCCCTCAAAGATACTTTCCCCTTCCCTTTCAAAGGCTTTAATTGTAATTTGCTCCTCTTTTTATTTTAAAGCAAAACTATGCGTTGCTATTGAATTTTTTTTATTGTTTTTGAAAAGTAAAAACAAAAGCAGAGCCAAGCCAGCAGCCGCGGACTGGTTCCCTGTCTGGAGTGGATGAGCCTCTCCATGAGAGATCCGGTTATCCCTGGGACAAGCATGGCCTATCATCCGTTCCTACCTCACCGGGCGCCAGACTTCGCCATGAGTGCGGTACTGGGTCACCAGCCGCCTTTCTTCCCCGCGCTAACGCTGCCTCCCAACGGCGCCGCGGCGCTCTCCCTGCCCGGAGCCCTGGCCAAGCCCATCATGGATCAGTTGGTGGGGGCTGCTGAGACCGGCATTCCTTTCTCATCCTTGGGACCCCAGGCTCACCTGAGGCCTCTGAAGACCATGGAACCCGAGGAGGACGTGGAAGACGACCCCAAGGTGCACCTGGAGGCCAAGGAACTTTGGGACCAGTTTCACAAGCGGGGTACAGAGATGGTCATTACGAAGTCGGGAAGGTAAGAAACCAGTGGTAACCCCCTCCCCAAACCACCTGAAGTTTTTCGTGTCTCCTTTTGTCTGTCTATTAAAACGGTAGATTTACTACTGCCTGATTTTACGTTTGGGACGAAATCTCTCCCGACACACACACACACACACACCACCACCACCACCCCCCAAAAATGTTGAGACTCCTGGGCCCTGCCTGAGGGTCAGAAAATTTCAGACTACCTGGGCCCACTGCAGGGTTCTTGGGGACTCGTAGAGTTCCCTACAGAATAGAGGGTGTTTTCCATTGAAGGAGCCGCACACTGACTGACTTCTGCAGCAAGCGCCCTGTTGCAGAAAGCTCGTTTGTAAAGACATCTTGAAATATCTTTCTATCTGTTTGATTTTGTCTGTTTGGTTTTATTTCTTAGTACAGACACTTACAGCCCTTTTTGTACGGTAGTGGGAGACCCGTGAGATTTCTCAGGCCCTTTCTGCCCTTCAGCTTACTCTCCGGAGCTGAAGGGGGCCTAAACCTGACTGATCTGGGACAGAGTGAAATCAAGGGACGGGTGAAGGAGCGAAGGGTTGCTTTTCTGCCAGCCCAGGGAGAACCGAGCAGGCACTCCTATTAGTTAAGGTTATGTGGACCCAAGGAACCCATGAGGATATCTATCCTGCTTTTGTGTTTGAATATGAATACTTTACATAACGTTTAGTGTCCTTGCCTGACCGAAACAAGCTTCTAAGAAAGGACCCCAGGAAAAGCATTTAAAACCACACTGATTTAATGAAAGAAAGAAAGAAAGAAAGAAAGAAAGAAAGAAAGAAAGAAAGAAAGAAAGAAAATGTCTGTAGGATTATCAGGACACCGGTTGAAAGGGCACGAAAATAAAACCCCCCACTTACAGGTCTCCTTTCAAACTACTTGAGGTCAAAGTTTGGCATGAGATCTTTCTCCAACCCACAAGACATTTAGTCAGTTTTCATAACTGAGTACTTCCTTTTAAGTCAAAAGTACGGAAAGCCAGCACTTCTGTGAAATTAAACAGCAGGATCTCGCAGTGGCCTACAGAGTAGAGGAATGCGGTTTATAACTTAAATCGCGAATGGGTTACCAGGCCCGGGTGCTTGCCTGCCTCCAACCTCCGAACTGAGAATCCAGTGTAATACTTCGCCAGCCTCCGTCTGGCTCACCACTTCACTCCATAACTGGGCATTTATTTCCTCGATAAGCTTTAATGTTTTCTCATGGGAGGGTGAAATAGCCTAAACTTTATTAACCACTGTTTCTTAGAGCCCTACCTCTAGCTGTTTCAAACTCAAAAAAAAAAAAAAAAAAAAGAAAGAAAGAAAGAAAGAAAGAAAGAAAAGAAAAGAAAAGAAAAAGAAAAATCTTAGGCAAGAATTCATCCCTCTCTGCAGAGGGCAATCTAAACAGTCAAACAATCAAACGTGTTTTTGTTTTTTACAAAATAGTCGGTACTTTTAGAGATAAGAGGTTGCTGTAGTTAATTTGATTTGAGGCTTGGGATAGGACAATAATAGGAGATTGAGCATTTTTAATGTCAGTGTGGAAGTAAATTTCACTGAGTTGCCCTGCAGACTCCCTGGTCACAGCAGAAAGCCTTGTGCTTTTAGATGGGGCCAGACCACTTGGAAGCCAAGCCCGAGGTCCTGAGCCATTTACCCCACCTATTTATCCGTTTCCTTTTTCTGTGCTTTGCTCTTGTAGGCGAATGTTCCCTCCATTTAAAGTGAGGTGCTCTGGGCTGGATAAAAAGGCCAAGTATATTTTATTGATGGACATTATAGCTGCTGACGACTGTCGATACAAATTTCACAATTCTCGGTGGATGGTGGCCGGTAAGGCAGACCCCGAAATGCCCAAGAGAATGTACATACACCCGGACAGCCCCGCTACGGGGGAGCAGTGGATGTCCAAAGTCGTCACCTTCCACAAACTGAAACTCACCAACAACATATCGGATAAACACGGATTTGTAAGTTTCATTGACTCTCAGTAAGATTCCCTGGGAGGAATGGCTTCCTAGGAAACCGACTTTGGGTCCAGACACCAGTCTGACTGATGGTTGCCACACATAACCAACTTCGTTCAATTTGCAACCTCTAGTTGCAGAGTGGAACTCAGGAGGGGGGGGGGGAGATGTCTTACTACCTGGATAATGGAAGGCCTACCATTCTCAAAGAATTTACCTGAATAGCAATCGAAGGTCCAGGGTGGGTGCCGGACCTGGGCGTGAAGAGTAATACTAAGAACAAAAAGTTATGAATCGATTTTTAAAGTTTTGTACTTGGATAAGGACCGTTTTGCTTAGAAATATTATGTTGCTTCTTTAAAGTCAGCCATGCCATATCTTGGGAGAGCTGAAACCTTTACTGTGTTGGGCCAAGGCGGTGGCTACATTTTTGAAAGTGTATTTTCTTTTACTAAAAGTGATTTTGGGCTTGGGTGAAAATCAGGTGTACGAGGAACAAGCTGAAGTCTTTGGTGTTAAAGAAAAATGCTGTGTGTGTGTGTGTGTGTGTGTGTGTGTGTGTGTGTGTGTGTATACGTACACGTACTAGGGAATGCAAGTGGATTCCGTGGCTGAGTGTGCTTTAGAGACTTTCTGGAGACTTGGCTTGCCTGCGAAGCCAGGCCAGGGGACCTTTGGCTGTCCTCTGCCCCTCCCCAGCATTTCAATAGGATAAACAAAGTGATAAGCGAGGAATAAGCAGAAAGATTAGGCCCAGGAAGACGTGAATGGCTCGGAAATATCTAAAGCGGACAGGGATTGCATTTGAAGCCCTTGATTTGATTAGGGCATAAATATTCCTCTCTAGAGCGCGGCCTCTCAAGGCCTTAAGTGGATTGGGCTTGTCAATTAGTGGGCGCTTAAAGTACTGAATCATTTTGTAAATTAAAATGCATGTTTTTCTCTATCTTTTAAGACTTTGGCCTTCCCAAGCGATCACGCAGCGTGGAAGGGGAATTATAGTTTTGGGACCCAGGTAGGCTAGGGTTCAAGGCACAAATGAATATGTAGATGGAGAGGGTGGGGGTGCGCTTTAGAAGCTGAGGAACAATTTGGAAGTCTCTGGAAGATAACAATCTTGTGGTGTGAAATGTACCACAAGGACGCGGGCTTTGGACCCAGCAGTGGGGACGATGTCTGCTTGGCAGGGGACCTAAGATCTCATTTGTTCTGTTAAACTATTTTTCTTTCTTTCTTTTAATGTGTGTGCCCCCCCCTTCCTGCTTCTGCAGACCATACTCAACTCTATGCATAAGTACCAGCCCCGGTTCCATATCGTCAGAGCCAATGACATCTTAAAACTGCCTTACAGTACATTTCGCACATACCTGTTCCCGGAAACGGAATTCATTGCCGTGACTGCCTACCAAAATGACAAGGTAACCCACAGGGCGTTTCTCTCTTCCTCTAAGCTTACTTGCTCTCTCAGTGGGAAAGTTATTAGGGCATTGGACAGAAGAAAGTCTGGAATTTCCTTGTGTGAATTGTGTGATTTGACCTTCTATGGAGAGGTCTGATTCCTGGGAGGGAGGGGGGCTGGCACAAATCTCTCCTCCCAGCTGGGACTCTGGTGCTTGTATTGGCCGCAGGGTCTTGTCTCTTGGTGTTTCCTATTTCATCCTCTTCAGGAGGAAGGATCAAAAAAAAAAAAAAAAGTGTGCTGTTCTGAAAGGAACCAGGTAGCAAGGTAACAATTAATTTAAGGTGCAAAGTGTCTGGGTCTCCCTGGAGATGAGTAGAGATGGGCACTCCTCTCAGCCAGAAATTCCCGAATACATGATTTGTTTTCATTAATTTTTATGCCGCTGCTGCTGCAGGTGATGGCGGTGGTGTGTAAAAACGCACCCTAAATCAGGGTTCTGTTAATTGAGCTGTCCGAGGCTTCCCACTTAAAGGTGGAAATAATCACTAGCTCATAATCACGAGTTCATCTGAAACTTGTTCTCTTTTGGGGCCTAAAGCCAGGGATTATAAAGGGCTCGCCCAATGAGCCTCACCTGGAATCTGCTGTTCTCCTGGCCTGTAGGTCAGGGAAACTGAACACAGAGGCCCGGAGACAAGTGTCTATTGATGGTGGTCCACTAGCATGGAGCTTGGCAACTATGGGTGGGTGGGTAGGGGTTGAGGACCCCTGTGGCCCAGTACCTGAGCCCTAGACCTCGTGGAGAGTTCACTTCACTTGGCAACACCTTGTACTTTGAACTTGTGGTCATTCCCTGGTCCCTGTGGACACTGATCCTTACATTTCCTATTGTGGATGTTAAGTCACCACCCGCTCCTCTCCTTCCTTACCTCATGCAAAGGACATCTGGCCTCCTTTAAATAGCAGAACCCTAAACCAAAGCCCAGGTTTCTCGCTCCTATTAACTGGATACATAGTTTCTCTACCAGGAGAAGAGATTCCAAAGACAACAAGCCTCAAGCTGGCTCCCTGAGACGGGGAATCCTGTGAAAGTTACATCAACTAAATTATTACTTTAATGGCTAATAGTTTTAAACATAGCAGAGGCTGGGGGAGGGGGGCACACAACACACACCAAAAGTAAACATAAATGAAAACAAATATTACCAGTGGTTATTCTTTCCTTTTCAATCAAAGTCCTTAGTATATAATTCCTTCAAATCCACTCTTGCCTGGAGTGGTGGGGGTGGGGGTCACTCTAGTATAATGTAGTAGTGAAACCTCATAATTAATTTTATTAGATTCACAGAAAAAGTTTTCGTGTGTAGGGTGTGTGTTTGTGTTACATGTATGTGTGATGGGGGTTGGGAAATAATCAGGAAATGGCATTTTAACATGCTTATAATTAATTGTGCTGTATAAAAAATCAAAACAGAAGCCTACTAACTCAGATCTATAGGCTGTGCCTTTTAGCCATATTTGAATAGTCTCATTTCTAAATCTAAATTGTCCAAAAGAAGGAATTTCTTTGGATAATTTTAGTGTGGAATCCTTGCTTGGTTCTTAGAAACATTAAATATTACTACACTTTCTTATGATGTTTCAGCCCCTTCCTATCTTCCTGCCATCATCTTCCCTCTGACTTCCACTTGGTCCATCCCTGTGACTCCTTGGGCAGTCACATCTCTAGGAAAGACTAAGGAGTTTGGGGGGCATGTTTAGAACATTCTAGAAAGTAACGCTAATGTCTGTTTTGCTTATGTGTTTTCTCTAGATAACTCAGTTAAAAATAGACAACAACCCTTTTGCAAAAGGTTTTCGGGACACTGGGAACGGCAGGAGAGAAAAAAGGTGAGCTGAGACTTACAATTTCAGGGTTAATTGGGAAATTGTTTTCTTCGGCTTGAACTTGGAAGTATTAGAAGTGAGGTGCAAGATGTGGGGGAGGGGAGAGGGTCAGCTTGTTCCCTCTTGGTCCATAGTGGTCCAGGTAGAGAACATTCTATGTTGCTTGTCTTTAATGGAACCAAGGCTAGCTACACTGCAGTTCTGACCAGAAAATAGTCTCAGGGGTAACAGGTTATAAAGATGCCTATTAATTGTTAGTTAATTGGCATTTGTCCTGAGCAAGACCCAAGAAGGGACCCAAGCCATTCACACATTCTCTGCAACCTCGCCTCTCAGAAAGCTTCACCAGGCTGAAGCTGAGGCCCCTTGAGAAATCCAGGGAACCTTCCCTCCCTCCTTCCTTTCTGGGTCTCTGTATCAATTTTTGCTTTAAATAGACCATAGAAAAAGCTGTGCACCCCTCACCCCTTTTCAAAGGTTTTCTACAATCCAGAAAAATCATCTATCAATTTTTTTTTCAAGTTTCTTACCTTGGGGCTGAACATTAAAAATAATTTCTAACCTTGAAATAAACTTAAACTCCAATTAATGGATTGGTGAACTGGTTATTGTCAAAGGACCACATAATGAATGGTTCTTGCCCATCTTAGTGCCCATGCAGGGCTTTGGGCTGGGTCTTCCTAGCACCCTCCCTCTGGAAGGCCAGTAGTGTACCTGTCCTGGCCAACTCTAGCCTCTGTCCTGTCCTGAGGTTTTAAACAAGATTTCCTAGGCCAAGTTCTTTCCTAATGACTCCATGTTGGGTAGCTAGCTGGGGTGAGGTGTGTGCCACTCCGGAAAGTGGGGGGAAGAAGACAAAAAAGGGAAGTGTGTGTGGCAGTCTCTAACGATGGGTGTGGGCCTCTGTCTCAGAAAGCAGCTCACCTTGCAGTCTATGAGGGTGTTCGATGAGAGACACAAGAAGGAAACAGGGACCTCAGACGAGTCCTCCAGCGAGCAGGCAGCCTTCAACTGCTTCGCCCAGGCCTCCTCTCCGGCTGTGTCCACTGTGGGGACATCCAACCTCAAAGGTAAGCCTGGCCTCCTCTGTGATGAGTAGACTCCCCAGACCTGGCCCTGTGGCCTTGGAACTCAGGGAAGATCCGGAGCCAGTAGACTCCCTTTAGAAGATGCAGGCCCTTCTAGAACCTGCAAAGCAGAATCATAATCAAAGTGGGGGTAGCACGGGAGAACTTGGAACACCTTCCCCACAATCCCATTTGGTGTGTGTGGTGTGGTGTATGTCCTCCTAGCAAGGGCAGTAGCACAAAGCACATGAAGCACTTGTCTGTCTGTCCTGTCTGTCCTTTATTCCCTCCTCCCTTCTGTCCTCCCTCTCTTTCCAACCAACAGCATCCAGCTGCTGCTCATCAACCTCCAACTGAATTCTGGGTGGAAATGTGTTGGGCAGGGAGTAGCCCGGAGATTCTCAGCCACCTGGTTGGTGCAGGAAGGTGGTAGAAGAAAAGCCACAGCTGACCTGGGGGAGGGAGGAGGCCCTTGGGCATCTGCTTTGGGGAGGTGGGTGGGGGTAGGGGCAGAGAAAGTGGTTTGAATCTTGAGCCAGTTTTCTGCTTAAAGAGCAAGTAGCGTTTATTTAGAAAGACGGTCTCAAAGGGAAGAAATCTGGTTTCAGGTGAAATAAAATGGGAGAGTTCCTTTTGTCTTTAATCCATATCAGTTTCTAATGTAAAGTGGGGTTCATTTTTTTGGTGGGGGGTCTGGCAGGACACCCACAGAAGAGGGTGTGGTTCAAGAGAGACAGACATACAGACATCATACATACATACATGAGATCTGATTGTTCACCACCCATCTTGGTAGGAATTGAGGCGAACAGAAGGCTCCTGGGAGGGTGTAGTTTCTGCCTGTGCCCAGTCCCACGTCAGGATTCTTTCCAAACAAATCAAAATAGTCCCAAATTTGTGGAAGCGCCTGACTTCCATCCTCCCTGAGCCAGAGACTCTGAAGGTGACAGGAATGTGTTCCAGCAGAGTTCTGAGGTCTAGCGTTTTCATCTTTAAAAAGCAAATTTGCAATCCAATGGGAGAGAGGCCAGAGAAAGTTTTGAGTAGGTGGAAGCTTTCTTTCTGGTTTTGTTTTGTTTTGTTTTAAAGCGGAACCATTACAATAAGAAAAGCTGCCCGTTGAGTGCCTGGCTGGAGAGAAGGTTGAACCGAGTCTTAACACTTGGGATGCTTTTGGGATTAGCTGTAAAAGTGTTACATCATCCCATTTCACAGAGAGGAAAACCCAAGGCTGGGAGTGGTGCAGAGGGGCTTGCGCTGGAGTCAGTCACACTGCCAATAAACTGCCCAATTGGGAATCCTGTGTTTGAAATAGTCTCACTCTGTAGTTCAGGCTGTCCTCCTGTCTCCGATGCCTCATTGTTGGCATGCCAGGCCTTGCGCCACCGCGCCGGCCTGGGAGGTGGGGTTTAAACCAAGAAACACTATTGACAGATAGTTCCCCTGGCATTTTCCTCTCCTCCTCAAGATCTGTGCCCCAGCGAAGCCGAAAGTGACGCCGAGGCTGAAAGCAAGGAGGAGCACGGCCCTGAGGCCTGTGACGCCGCGAAGATTTCCACCACCACCGCCGAGGAGCCAGGCCGAGACAAGGGCAGCCCAGCCACCAGGGCTCAGCTGTTCCCCGCGGAACCCGGCCGAGCCCGAGACACCGCGCGCCTGGACAAGGCATCGCCGGATTCGCGCCACAGCCCGGCCACCATCTCATCCAGCACGCGCGTCCCGGGAGCCGAGGAGCGCAGGAGCCCCGGACGCGAGGGTCCAGGTGCCACTAAGGTGGATGAGGTTCGCTCGCTGCCCGCCAAGGACGCCTTCGCGCCACTGTCAGTGCAGACGGACGCGGCCGCGCACCTGGCGCAGGGGCCCCTTCCAGGTTTGGGCTTCGCCCCAGGCCTAGCCGGCCAGCAGTTCTTCAATGGGCACCCTCTCTTCTTGCACCCCGGCCAGTTCGCCATGGGCAGCGCCTTCTCCAGTATGGCTGCAGGCATGGGGCCCCTGCTGGCCACAGTATCCGGGGCATCCACTGGCGTCTCAGGCCTGGATTCCACAGCCATGGCCTCGGCTGCCGCAGCGCAGGGACTGTCCGGGGCGTCGGCTGCCACCCTGCCCTTCCACCTTCAACAACACGTTCTGGCCTCCCAGGTATTACTCCTGCCTGCCCTCCTGCCCATCCCCGGCTCGCTCCAGTAGCTCTCTTAATCCCAGTCCCTTGCCTAGGACCGTTAGTTAGACAGTAATGCATGCTAGTAACTGTTTATTATTGACCCTTTGCAGGGCGCAGTACCTATCTCACTGAGCCGTCGTGACCACCCCTCCCCTTCAAGGGCCCTTAAATTACTTCCTATGCATGGCCAAGCTCCACATTCCTTAACACTGTGACAAGTTTGAATCATTTGATGTATCATCTCTGGCCCAGAGATGTTGAATCCCTCCGCTCAGGTCACACAGCTGGTTCCCTGGTGGAGTTGAGCCTGTCTGCCCCACAGGGCCTCTTTGATTTCATCTTTCAGACAACATATTTCTCTGGAGGCTCCTAGCCACTACTCCCCCAGGAAGGGACTGAGGTGTGGGGAGGGGAAGTGACTGGTCCCCTGGGTGAGAATTTGGTCTGGAGGCAGCCAGCCTTCCACCTAGTTGAAAGCTTTTCTTCCCCCACCCCCACCCCAAACAGGCCTGCCTATCTCCAAAGAGTTAATGGGTTGTGCACACGTGGGAAATGTCAAAGGAGGGGAGACTGGCTGTGGCAGGCCTGTGTGTGTGTGTGTGTGTGTGTGTGTGTGTGTGTGTGTGTGGTTCAGACAGCTGTGCCCAGCACGGAGGGGCTGGGGAGAAGGTTCTGAACCCGGTAGGAAGCCTCTCTGGAGTTTTTCCGCCTACTCTGACCTTTTGTTTTGTCTGAGCACATTCGTCTCCCTTGCCAGAGCCAAAAGGCACATAGTCCTCCCCCATGGGGAGGAGGAAGCTGAGACACCAGCTAGTTTCTAACTTACCCCCAACCTTCCTAACACGGCTGGTCTCCCTCAGAAGGGCAGGTGGAGGAGGGTCACCCTGAACAGACAGGTCTGGAGGCGTCCTTAAGCGAAGGACACACCCTGCATGCAAATTCTGCTTGTTTGGGTCCTGCAGCCTCCCACCTGGGACCCCCAAGCCTTAGAAACTGGGTGTTTGCAGTCTTTATATTAATAAATAGCACCTTTTCAATCCCCCTCCTTTCAAATCATCCTTATTTTTTCTTACTTGGGAAAGATCTAGAAGGACAAAATTAAAGCTAGCATGATAACATGTGCACCGGAGTTTAATCTAGCCCTTTGGTGGAGGCCCTCCTTGAGCCCACTCAACAGGTGCGGTTGTTTGCCCTCACGGGAACTTGCTAATAGCCCTGAGGGTCAGGCACCATGGAGGACTCGTTGTGGATGATTTAATAGCCAGGAAGTTCCCAGCATGTTAACCCCTTGGTTTAGCATGCAAGGGATCTGTGTCCTAGGGTAAAGTTTTGTCCCTCCAACTCCTCCAAGACCAGATAGCAGGAGGTGGAAAAGAGGGGTCGCCCATCCTCTGACTCCGTATGTTTCTTCTGTTCCTTCCCCAGGGCTTGGCTATGTCGCCTTTTGGGAGCCTGTTCCCTTACCCCTACACATACATGGCTGCTGCAGCTGCAGCTTCCTCAGCAGCGGCCTCCAGCTCCGTGCACCGCCACCCGTTCCTCAACTTGAACAGCATGCGCCCCAGGCTACGTTACAGTCCATATTCCATCCCTGTTCCAGTGCCTGATAGCAGCAGCTTGCTGGCCACTGCGTTGCCCTCCATGGCTTCGGCCGCGGGGCCCCTAGACGGCAAGGCAGCCGCCCTGGCGGCCAGCCCGGCCTCGATGGCCGTGGATTCGGGTTCGGAACTGAACAGCCGCTCTTCCACGCTGTCCTCCAGCTCAGTGTCCTTGTCACCCAAACTCTGCTCAGAGAAAGAGGCGGCTACCAGTGAACTGCAGAGCATCCAGCGGCTGGTCAGTGGCTTGGAAGCCAAGCCGGACAGGTCCTGCAGTGGGTCCCCTTAAAAACAAACAAAAACAAAACAAAAAACAAAACCGCTCCCCCAAAGGTCTCTCCATTCCAGTTCGGTCAAATCTGCCAGTGCACTTTGTTGGATGTAAAATAAACCACAGACCTTCCACTGGGGTGATTCCCCATCCTTCAGTTTTGTCTGGGAAGGAACACCAGGCTCCCTCCAGAGAATGCGCTCTAGAGACCACAGGCCTTGTCTTGCGCTGTGGAAGCAGGCTGCTGTTGCTTTGAGACGCGGGGGTGGGGGTGGGGGAAAACTGGCTTTTGTGTCTAGAGCGACTTCAGTGGAGGCTGGTGTGAAAGTTGGGGCTGAAGAACGAGGTAGCCAAGGCCGGCCTGCCCTGTTTGAGAGACTACACCCAAATCTCTTTCCCCTTCGTGTGTCAAGCGGAAACAATAATTTATCCCTAAACAAACTAACAAACAAGCCCAAACCGGGGACAGATCAAGCCCCATGGAACTGTCTATGAAGACTTAAATTGCTGAGTACCTTTACTGGGGAAGGGAGAAGCCCTTGCCTGGTCTATGTTAAAAGAATCCTGTGTCTTTTTAATATCCTGAGGTTTTAAAGGAGGGATACCCGTCCTTTTTTGTTTGTTTGTTTGTTTTTGCATGTTAGAATTTTCTGGGTTTTACTTGTTGATGGTTCTTTGGCTTTTACAGAAAAACAACAAAACCCTGCCATCCTCAACCCTGCTCAAACTGGCAGCCCCGAGGAAGTAGGGGTGGAGTGGGGTAAAGGGAAGCAATGGGGTTGGAATCCACTGAGTTTATTTTATCTGTTTTATCTAAGCGCTGTAGAGGGCTTCGTGTGCCCGTCCGACCATTAGTTCTCTCAACTGTATATGCAATAACAAGGTTTTAAAAGAAATAATAAAGAGGAAACACGACTATTGGACAAAGTATTTATGTAATTATTTGATATCTCTTGTAAATAGGTGGAATTATGACCGCTCAGAAAGTTAAACTTTAATTTATTGACTTGTACATAGCTGGATGTAAATAGAAGTGTGTCTGTCAGGTTTTATTCTTGTTTTGCCTTTTGCATTTTTTTTCCAGGTCAGGAGATGACTAATTCACAGTAACGAGCTTAGGCTTCTGGACCTCCATCTAATGCTTTCAAATAGAGCTGGCTGCAATTTTAATTGTCAGAGAGCTGGTGGCGGGGGTGGGGTGGGGTGGGGAGGTTGGGAATACTATTTCCTATTTTCACCAAAATTGGGGAGGTATTGGCCCTTTCCCTAAGCTCTGACACCCTGGGAGGGATTGAGATTGTCATGGGAGCAGAGGCTGCCATAACCTTCCTAATTCTTCGTCCTCATTTGTCTCTGGTATCTTCTAACCCAAGTGAGGTTTTCTTGCCATTGTTCATCTAGATGGTGTTTTGGATTGGTGTACAGAGAGGGACTCATTCAAAAACAACCATGAAAGGCAAAACAAAATAACAAAAAATCTTTTAAAAAAAATCCATGAAGGCATATTTTGTGTTTAGTACTTGAGTTTTCTGTAATTCTCCTCCTTAAAAACATCAGTGAAATTTCAATAAATTTTTATTGAAATGAGTTTTGAAGTCGTGTTAATGATTTCTTCTAGAGCGTCTCTCGAAGCTGGAAAATTAGAAGGGAATGATCTTCCTGCCTGCTCTTTCCTTTCGTCTTTAAATAGTAATTAAGACCACCCCCCCACACCCCCAGCAAACCAAAATGAGATGTCACTCAAATTACAAAGCTGAAAACAAAAAGTTCCTTGCTCCTGCGAAGGGGGCCACATCAATCTGAAACTATTTCCCCTTTAATTTAAGGAGTGGGAGAGGAAAAGGACCTGATTAAATTTCGTAAATAGGAACTCCATATACTTCAGTTTTAATAAGGGAAGATTTACCCTGTGTTCAAAGTCGCCTTTCCCCACACAGGAATCCGACCAGAAAGAAGCTGGCAGCGCTGGAAAGGGTTTAAGATTTTATACCGTCCTTCCCCTTTTTGACATGGAACACAAAATAAACTCTCCCTACAACCGTGAATCTGGCACGGGGAAAAGGTTAGGCTGTGTCCCTTGCCCACGGACATTTAGGATTGGGACAAGGCCAAAAAGGGTGCTCTCACCACCCCACCGTGCGCACACTTTGTTTGGTCGTGAGGAGGAAGGTAATTCAGGAGCCCACATGGAACCTGCTAGGCAAAAGTCACCCAGGAAGCTGGCTGGCATCCCCAACCCCTACTCTTCCCTTAACCCGGCCCGAGGCAGTTAGGCAAGTTATCTTTTTGAAGTTCAATTTATCTTTGAATCTTTCAATACGAAAGAAAAAGAAAAAAAATGGTGGAGTCCCTATCCAGGCTTCTCTGGGGGCGGGCAAGGGAATGTTCTCTAAAGTTAGCCCTGAAGACTTTCTTGCCCTGGGGGCCTTGACTCAAAGACCCAGCCGGAGCCTGCCTGGCGGCCGACTACCCCCAACCCCCCATTCCGGAGCCCGCCAGCCGGGCCTTACGTCCCTGTCACCTTCAGGCCTCTTGAACGGCGGGTCACGAGAGGGGCCCCTCCCTTCCCTCCTCCTGGGTTTGGTAGAGGACCTAGCTCTAGACCTTTGGAGGGGTGGGCAAACCCCCCTTTTCGAGCCCAGGCACGTGGGGGACCCTCACTGCCCCCCCCCGCCCCAGCAGTCTAGGGAGGAGGCGAAAACAACCAGAGAGACTGGACTGGAGAGTGCTTAGGGGGACCAGGGGGACCAGAGAGGCAGGTCCTTCCTCCCGCCGGACCAAAACTCGCTGTCCGCCCAGAGAAGGTGGCAATTGGCTCATGGCTTCCCGCTGCGCGAGCTTCCAAATTGGGGGTAAAATAGCTCGGTTTCAAATGCGGAGAAAGCAGAAACCAAACCAAACCAAACAAAATTTGCTTGGCTTTCACAGTCAGATTTCCTCTTCTCTTCCCTTCTCCATCCCCCTCCCCCCAAATTTGGGGATAGTGTCCAAACCTGTCCCCGGCCCCTCCTAGGGCTTCCTCCCTCCCTCCCTTCATTTCTTTCCCTTCGTCTTCTTTATAATCTCCTCTGTATCTTATTTATATATAGTGCTGTTAATGTATAACTCTTGTGGCGCTGATGGACCGGGGGTGACCCGCTCGCAATCTCTCTGGATTTCTGGGCCTATTACTCACCTGGCGCCGGTCGCAATCTCGCCGCGGGCTTTATGGTGGCGGTGGCGGCGGCTGCCGAGGCCACTAGGGGCCGGCGCCTGGGTTTTTTTTTTTTTTTTCCCTCGCTTTCTCTCTCTCTCTCTCTCTCTCTCTCTCTCTCTCTCTCTCTCTCTCTCTCTCTCTCTCTCTCTCTCTCTCTCTCTCTCCTCTCTCCCAAGCTTCGAGTGCCACCTATCTGTCTGACCCACGACTGCGCCCTGCCTAACTGTGGCTAACTGGGTACTCCCGAGCCTTTGGAAGTCGGGAACTTTAGGGCTTCACCTAGCCCTACTTCTCAAAGAATCATCCTTAATCTGTCCTATGCTCCCCACGGACGGACACCCCGCCCTACACCCGCCTCACCTCCTCACCCCGATCGGAAGAAGGGCCAATCCTTTCATTCCTGTTTGGGCCTCAGATGAGATTTCCAAGGGACTTTTGGAAATTCAATGATGGAACCGTGGTTCCTTAATCTCTGGGTAGAAAAGTGTAGGTACACAGTGGGTAACCTGCAATGAGAGACGCCCCCCACCCCGAACTCAACCCACATAGACACAACTCGTACCAACTTCTCTTTGCGGAGATGTTTCCTTTTGTACTATATAAATTCCTAAATTTTATTTTTTTGGGGCGGGGAGTCTTTTTTTCTCCTGGCCGCGTCTTCAGGGACAAAGGAAGGCCAGAGCTCCTGAACCACCAGACCCTCTTGGCCTCCGGCAGTGGTCAGCTGTTGCAGCCTGCAGGGCCTAGCGTCTTGCAGTTCGGTGGGTGTGCGATGATGACTGCAGGTACCGGCCAGAGCCCGACGGGCGCCCGCCCGCCCAAGGGGAAGATCGGCTCCAGGCTGCGCTGGCGTCTGAGACCCAACGGGAGGGGCCGGGGTCACCTTTGCTGGTCTTTGAGTTGCGGGTAAAGGCGTCCGAGTTCTTCCTGACCTCCCGGCGCTAATTGCAGGGGCCGAAGGGCGTGCTTGGGCACAGGCAGGGGTCGCGACCTTGCGGCCCCCCCTCCCAACTCCGGTGTCTAGGTTGTCCTGAAGTAGCGAGGGGTGTTTGCAAATGGGAGAGCGCATAGGCTTGCACGGAGTCTGTCCCTGGACCCGAACTGTCCCGAGACCCACTCTTTCATACGTGGGCGAAAGTTCCCGAAATATGTATAGGCCTTTCGAAAAATTCCATTCAAGGAAAACCCTAGTTCTGACCTTTCTCCTAAGCCAGGAGACTTGGGGCTCTACAAGACGCTATAAACTTCCCATCAGCACTCTTTCTGCCTCGCTGGTTTCTAAATTTGGTCTCTTGGCAGCGGGTCAAGAAAATGGCTAAGGCGTGGGGGGGGGTGGTATTTGCCTCCCCCTCCTCACTGGTGGACCGGACTCTTCTAGATGTAGCCATAGACGTTCGTACCTATAAGGAGCTGTGGGGTGTCTGCGACTCTGAGGCCAGGAGCCGCAGGTGTTAGAAAGAAAGCCCTGTGCGTGTTTGCCTGTCCTTCTGTGTGCCCCATCTGTGGACGTCTCTTCCAATTTGGATTTAGGAGTTTCACTCACGAGACAGTTCCGGATGTAAAATGCACTTGCTTGTTTTATAATCAAGATGCGTGTAATCAAGAAATATATGTTGCAGATGTGGGCGTTCAAAGCCTACATAATAACCACGATAGAAATCGCTGGCGTGCAAGGGGCGTGTGTGAGCTGGGGGGAGGGAGGGCGGAGCGGGACCCTGGCACTCCGGGAGGGAAAGCACCCCATGGAGTGACCTTAGTCTCTCTCACCATTAACCCTGTAAAGTGCATTCGATTAATTTCCAACCCCTTGGAAATTAATAAATTCCAACCTCTCGGTACAAAGCAGACTTGTCGCCGAATGATTAAATCACTGGCCCGTGTTCATGTGGAAGGGATGGAACCCGAACATCAGCCAACCAAAGTAGCTTTCATTCCTAATTCAGGTGTTGCTACCTGCGGTCCCGGATGCAGAGAAATTGTGGGTGTGTTTGGAATTGGCCGCTTTCATTCTTCAGAGGGCAGTATTGTAATTTTGGATGACTCTGTGGTGTAACGTCAAAGAATGGCTTTGATTTGGAATGTCTACCTCCCTTCAGGTGAAGACTTTAGGGTGAGGGCCTATGATTCCACGTGGATGGAATCCCACAGGCACTTAATTCGTCCTCAACCAAACACTATAGCGGTTATCCGAGCAGGCGCAGTGCTATCAACGGGGCTTCCTTCTCCTGCCGGGTCCGGGAACAAGCAGCGCGTCCCAGGCTCCCAGCCCCAGTTCCCCTGGAATCCCCAGTGTCTGCGATCGTTCTCTCTAGCCAGGAGCGAAGGCCTAGGGCTGGAGAGGACGCTGCAGGAGGGGATTCTGAGAGGACGGAGTTTGCTTTTTGCTGGTTCATCCTGTCCCATTTCTAGAAATCTCTGCAGAGGCAGTTTTTCAGGTCTTCTATTTGCATCGATGTAGTTCCAGTTGGACGTGGATGTAGGGGAAAGGGAGAGGAGGCCAGGGTTCTACTGAGAAGCAAGAGATCACGGGCAGAGGACACATTTGAAGGGCCCTGGTCCTGGTCTTGTGGTCTTGCGGCAGCCTAACATGTTCTTAAGCCTGAGCTCTGAGCATAAGGTCCTGAGCACCCAGACTGAGGACTTTTTATCCTGAGTCCCCCAGCTTTGGTTTAGCTTCTGGAATAGGAGACAAAAACAGGGGGGCTGGACAGCGTCCTTGGAACCGGATGGCTGGGTCCTGCTTTCTGCAGCCACCCTACCCCACCCACCTACCCCCCCACCCCCGTGAAATACTGGCTCTTTAGAAATAAGATCCCCCCAGCACTTCGGTTCCTTGCTAACGACCAGGGCTCTGGTTTCCGATGAGAGTTGTCTGCTCCCCAGAGCAGGAGTTTAATCTGGCTTCCTCAGCTGCAGAGCCAACCCTAGACTTGTGTTGCTTTGCCCCCAAGTATCAAGGACACTTTGGCACTGAACTGACACTTGGGAGGAGCCCTCCTTCCTGTCGCCTTTGCAGACGGGCATTTAGGACAGGTTTTTTTTTTTTTTTTTTTTTTTTTTTTTTTTTTTTTTTTTTTTTTTTTTTTTTTTTTTTTTTTTTTTCTCTTTGTGCCTAGAAGAGGCATTCTTAGTCCCGCAGCAGCTCTTGCTATCTCCCAGTCCTCCCAACCGGGCAGCCAGCCTTGGGGAGAGTAGGTTTGGAAGGCCAGTGGCCAGGGTATCCAACTATCCAAATAGCTCAGGCGCCACATCCCGCTTTCCCGAGGGCCAAATGCGCTGAACTCACTGGCCATTCTCTAGAAGGATCTGTCAAGGGTGCCCTGAAATCACACACAAAATGTGCATGACTTCTCAAAAGGACACTAGAATTTCAGGTTCTCAGGTATGAGTC